TCCAACGCTCTCCAGAATTTTCAACCTTTATTTTTACTATTTCTTCCCCCTCTACCTACAAATACATTGCTTACAGGATAAACTACAAATTCCTAAAGCCCTCAATCATCTAACCAGGCTTACCCCTCCAGCCTTATATTTCACCATTTCCAAATGCAACCCCATACTCAGCACTCCACCATAAGTTATGGAGTGTTGCTTATAGTTCCCTGACTTCTGCATTCCTTTTTACACCTCTGTGCTTTTGCTCTCATCATTCCTAGCACTTCTTCAGCCAGTTACCCTTTTCTCCCTGGCTAACTACCTGCTCTTCTTTTAAGACAAATAGCTCATATAGCACTTTTCTGTGAAACTGTTTTGACCATTTTCACACTGGGCAGAGTTGAGAATTGACCATTCTTCCTTTGTTCTCTCCTGTATTCTGTAGAAATGTCTAGATAACATCTGGGACCTTTTATTGCTCTGGACTATAAGCTACATGAGGACAGTGATTGCTATCAGTTAGCCAGATCAACAGTCAGAAAGGAAATCTAGATGTGAACAAGAGCAAAGACAAAACAAGGACCACATCTGTTTTTTACCACCTTCAGTCTCATTGCTGTGGGTAATCTGCAAAAAAAGCTGGTATCCTTCACTGCAGGACTACATAGTGCTTGGCTCAGGACTCAAAAGAAGCTGAAGGAGGATATCTGTCAGGATCTAGAGGAACTGCAGGACTGGGTGAGCAAGTATATCAGTGACATCATGTACAAGTAGCCACAGTACTTGGCACCATCCATCAACCTTCATAGCATTAAAAATGTGGCTGCAGCCCTAGCCGGTTTGGCTCGATGGATAAAGCGTCGGCCTGTGGGCTCAAGGGTCCCAGGTTCGATTCCAGTCAAGGGCATGTACCCTTGTTGTAGGCACATACCCAAGTAGGGAGTATGCAGGAGGCAGCTGATCAATGTTTCTTTCTCACTGATGTTTCTAACTCTCTACACCTCTCCCTTCCTCTATGTAAAAAATCAATAAAAAGTATGTATTTTTTTAAATGTGGCTACAGCTTTACTTCTGCCCTCTAAATGTTACATAGAATATCTCTTGGGTCCATTGTTGACTCAGAACCATTCAGAAAAGAGAATTTTACATAACATAATTCCAGCTCAAGTAAGTCAATACATACAAAGCTGTGTATATGTATAGTTATGTGCTTTATGACAGGGATCCGTTCTGAGAAATGCATTGTTAGGCAATTTTGTTGTTGTGCAGCCATCATAGAAAGCATTTATGTAAACCTACATGGTACAGCCTACTACACATCTAGGTTATCTATCATCGTGTATTGCTCCTAGGCTACTAGCCTATATGAAATGTTACTGTACACAACAACACACCAGTTTTGTAAATCAACCACAAGAGAAAATGATGCAACCCTAGACAGTTTGGTTCAGTGGATAGAGCATCGGCCTGCAGACTGAAGGATCCTGGGTTTGTTTTCAGTCAAGGGCATATAACTCTGTTGCAGGCTCCTGCCCAGCTTGGGCCCTGGTTGGGGCTCCTGCAGGAGACAACCAATCGATGTGTTTCTCTCACATCGATATTTCTCTCTGTCTTTCCCTCTCTCTTCCACTCTCTCTAAAAATTAGTGGAAAGATATCTTCAAGTGAGGATTAAAAAGAAAAAGAGAGAGAGAAAAAAATGATGCAATCCAGAGACATGATAAGTATGAGATGTGAGAGCCAGTTGCTGGTGTAACATGGCATACTGTTTTACAACAAGAGTATATGCTAAAGTAATGATAAAAAGTATAGTATGATAAATACATAAACCAGTAACACGGTCACTTGCTATCATTATCTAGTATTATGTACTGTACATAATTGTATATGCGATACTTTTATATGGCTGACAGCTCTATAGGTTTGTTTACTCCAGCATCACCACAAACATGTGAGTAATGACCTGTGCTATGACCTTACAATGGCTATGATATCAATAGGCCATAGGAATTTTTTAGCTTGGTTATAATCTTATGGAACCATTGTTGTATACGGATGTGGTCTGTTGTTGACTAAAACATTGTTATAAGCGCATGACTGTTTACTTAAAACAATAACTTTTCATGGTTTTTCATCATCTAAAAGACAAAATCCTTAACTTCACAACTAAGAGTCATAAAAGGTTTTCTGTGGATCTGCCCCTGGCTAGCTCTCCTGCCTTGGTGCCAGCGCTAAGGACCCCTGCGGGGGAAGTCTGATTTTGGGCCTAAGTCAGCAGTCAGACATCCCCCAATGGGTCCTGGACTGCGAGAGGTTGCAGGTCAGGCTGAAGGACCCCCTGCTCCCAATGCACGAATGTTGTGCACTGGGCCTCTAGTCTATAATAATCTATAATGATAAAAGCATAATATGCTAATTAGACCAGATGACCTTCTGGACAAAGCCAGGGCTGCAAGGGAAGTCTGGGTCCCAGGGCCTGCCGGCAGCCGTAGAAAAGCCCAGTCCTGGGTGCCTGGCGGAAGCCAGTGCCGGCAGCTGGCGGAAGGGAAGGTCTACTCTTGCAGAAATTTCATGCATCAGGCCTCTAGTGAACTATAAAATGCTATATGAATCTCATGCCATATATGCTAGGGATTGATAACAGTTTACAAGATGGTTATTCAGACTTTTAATTTAATCCTTTCCTGGCTGTTTTATAGCAGTTGACCTCTGCTATAAAAATGAGGGTAATATAGCCGGGACCGGTTTGGCTCAATGGATAGAGCATCGGCTTGGGGACTGAAGGGCCCCAGGTTCGATTCCAGTCAAGGGCATGTACCTTGGTTGCGGGCATATCCCCAGTGGGGGGTGTGCAAGAGGCAGCTGATCTATGACTCTCTCTCATCGATGTTTCTACTCTCTATCTCTCTCCCTTCCTCTCTGTACAAAAATCAATAAAAAAAAATTTTTTTAAATGAGGGTAATATATCTACTTCATGAGGTAGTTGTGAGGATTCAGTAAGTATAGGTAGAGTATGTTGAATGACTCAAGGAATTTGTAACTAAGAGACTGAACAGGCGAGTGCCTTTCCAGATTGGTTAAAGGAAGAGAATTGTCAGTATGGACTTCAGGTAAAACCCTGGTAACCATATTCATCCTAAGGAATTTCTAAAAAATCAAGAATCTCAGAAAGTTAGGATTGAGAAGTAGCTTCTCCTTTCTTCTTCATCATCATTGTATATATTAATTAGCTTGTGTGTGGAATGGATGTGTTATAGCTGTGGGATAATAAGTCTGACTCCTCGGTTGCTCTTTTCAAAGAATTTTGTTTGCCTTTCTCTCAAAATAATAGAAGCCCAGGATGGTGCACCTTAATTTATTTGATACATTACTTCTAGGTTATCTAGATCACATGAGAATAATTTTCCTTACAGCTATAAGCCAGTCAAAGCAAAGTAACAAAGTAGAAGAAAAATGACAGTCAGGCAGCTATGATTGGAATCTTTATTTTCCACCCTTCTTTTCTCCTTCCTCTCAACTGTCTGTTTTTATTAAATAAAATGACCTTGGAAATTATAAGCATGACATTTCTTTCTTTTCATCTTCACCTAAGGACATGCTTTCATTGATTTTAGAAAAGAAGCAGGAAGAGAGAGAGAGAGAGAGATAAAGAGAAACATTGATGGGTTGCCTTGGATACCCATTGCACATGCCATATGAGCTCCCACTGGAGCTCAAACCCAAAATCCAGGCATATGCCCTGACTGGGAATCAAACCACAACCTGTCAGTCCATGGTGTGACACTCTGGCCAGGGCAAGAATGACATTCCTTAAAGCTGAAACTAAAATGGCAAATTAAAATAGACAGCAATCAGGCAGATGCCTTAAGTTGACCTAATTTATTCATTTGTTTGTTTATTCAATAACTATTAACATTTACTCTGTGTGAAATACAATGCTAAGAGCTCAATCAATAAAGAAAAATCTCTACTCTCAGAGAATTTTTAGTCTAATGGAAGAGAGACAGATAAATAGGCTGTTATCTTAGTGTATGATAAATTGTCTGATATAGGTGGGCATAAGTCTGAGAACACAAACTTGGATGAAGGTTTCCTGGAGGAAGTATAACTGGGAAAAATCCTGATGAATAAATAAGAGTGAGAGTTAGAGAGTATTCATAGAATTTTACTTCATCTTCTGTGAAAATGAAGTAACACAAGCCAAATTCTGGAGTAAAATAGGGTATTTGTAGTAGAAGCAGGAAAAGGTTAGTGACAAGATTTGTGGGTAGGAGCAATAGAATAGAAGGTGGCTTTTCAGTGATTTGATGGCTTATTGATTTTGGTTTAATGTCTTTAGAAGCCTAAACGCCTCATAAAGTGTGAAATAGGGTTTCTTTAAAGAAAGACCTGTTCTGTGGTTGGATCAGAGCTAGTATCCACCATCTTGACCTCCCCAGGATGGGGTGTAGGCAACATATCTCTTAAAAATTTTGCCGAAACCGGTTTGGCTCAGTGATAGAGCGTCAGTCTGTGGACTGAAAGGTCCCAGGTTCGATTCCAGTCAGGGCATGTACATTGGTTGCGGGCACATCCCCGGTAGGGGGTGTGCAAGAGGCAGCTGGTCGGTGTTTCTCTCATTGTCGTTTCTAGCTCTCTATCTCTCTCCCTTCCTCTCTGTAAAAAATCAATAAAAATATATTTAAAAATTTTTTTTTGATGCTACCCAGCTGGTGTGGTTCAATGGTTAAGCATCAACATACGAACCAGGTCATGATTCAATTCCCAACCAGGGCACATGCCCAGGTTGTGGACTCGATCCCCAGTATGTGGGGCCATGCAAAAGGCAGCCAATCAATGATTGTCTCTGATCATTAATATTTCTATCTGTTTTCCTCTCCCTTCCTCTCTGAAATCAATAAAATATATATTTAAAATCTTTTTTTCAAAGAAAATGAAAAAACAAATTTTTTTTTCTAATGCCTACTACCTAATAATAGGTTAGAACCTATGTTACCTTCTCTCTTTTCTTTTTGCAGGCACCCTAGAATACATTTCCACACAGGCCTTGTGGACGCCCATCTCTACTGCATGAAAAAATATGTTGTGGACTTCCTAATGGAAAATGAGTAAGAAAGGGGGGGGGTCCACAGTGTTAAAGCTACTGTCTGACTTAGTTAATAGCTTTAAACCATGATAATGTTAGGTAATCAGTTTTTATACATTACTATTTATTTTTACCTTTGTCCTAGAAATGAAATCATGTTATCAGCATCCTGTTATTTTGTCTGTACCACAGAGTTCCCTACTTGTATTTTTGGGATCTGTGTTATAATAAACCAGAAAAATATTTTTGTAAAGCTAGTAGTAACCTATAAAGCCTCTTTCTGCACAGCTCCAAGCTGTTCTTGCTTCCTTCTGTAAGGGGGAGCTCCCCAATTCTAGTGCTGTTTGTCTGTAAGTAGATGTCCTTTCCCTAGGCAATCATCCCATAGATGGGCCCTCTTGGCAAAGGGCCAGAGAATTCTCTGAGAGGAGGAAACAAAGAGCAAGTTTTTCTCCAGTGTTGGAAAAGGAGTCCACTCACTGAGTATGAATGTAGAGAAGCATTTTTGTCCTTTTCTGATTTTGCTTTGAGAACAGAACTGCGGGCTTTAATAATTCCCAGAGACTGTGTCTGCCAGATCACAAGACTTGGGTTTCCAGAGGGAAAACCTCCTTTTGCTATTGGTCTCAAGGACTTTTGATAGGAAATGTGACTAGAGTCCTCGGGAACAGATGGGAAAAGATTTAATAAGCACATGTGTAATAAGAGGAGCAGCTCCTCTCCCTTGATGGCTCCTCCTCTTCTTACTCATCGCATACAGAAGTAGAGAAAGTAATGTGATGAAGTCCCATAGATCCATCACACCGCTTCAATATTTATCAATTCATGGCCAATCTTGTTTTATACCCATCTACACAGCGTCACACCAGATTATTTTAAAGCAAGTCATTATGATATAATTTCATCTGTAATTATTTCAGTTGAATTATCTATAAATATTTCAGTATGTATCTCTAAAACATAAAACAATATTTTTATGTTTTGTGTGTGTGGTTTTTTTTAATATATTTTATTGATTTTTTACAGAGAGGAAGAGAGAGGGATAGAGAGTTAGAAACATCGATGAGGAGAATCCTCTTTCAGCTGCCTCTTGCACACCTCCCACTGGGGACCCGCAACCAAGGTACATGCCCTTGACCAGAATCAAACCCCTGACCTTTCAGTCCGCAGGCCAGCACTCTATCCACTGAGCCAAACCGGTTTCGGCCAATATTTTTATGTTTTAAACAAAGACCTTTATACCATTATAACTCCCCCTCCCAAAAAAAAAACCTAGCATTGCTTCCGTAATACTATCAAATGAGATTATAGGTTTTGGTCTCTAGATACCAGGATAATAGTATCTCCTTTGTAGCTCTTTTGACCACCAAAAGTACCTGTTCCCATACCTGGTAAGTATTGTGCAGTGATATGTCCCTTAAGGACAAGCCTGAATTTGGTGGTTTTGTGGCTTCCAGTCAGAAACTCTGGTAAATAGGACTTTCTCAGAACCTGCTGAAATAGAGGGTGATTCAGAGCCTCAACTCAAACTGCCACCCCATTTCAAGATCTGCTAAAGATACCCTCATCTCTTTCTTCCCCCCCATCTACCCTTCACTTCTCAGAGTTGTTGGGAATAAAATCATTATATTGAAAATTGACAAATTTCAATATATTAGGGAAAACGTAAAGACATAGCAGGACAAATTAGAATAGTACTAGAGGGAGATTCTTTTTTTTTTAATATATTTTATTGATTTTTTTTTCTTTTTTTTAAAATATATTTTATTGATTTTTTACAGAGAGGAAGAAAGGAATAGAGAGTTAGAAACATTGATGAGAGAGAATCATCCATCAGCTGCCCCTTGCACACCCCATACTGGGGATGTGCCGGCAACCAAGGTACATGCCCTTGACTGGAATCGAACCCGGGACCTTTTAGTCCGCAGACCGATGCTCTACTACTGAGCCAAACCAGTTTCGGCTCGAGGGAGATTCTTTATTCCTGGCCGAAATAGTGGAGATCTTATCTGAAATTTGTAGAAGATAGGATTGAGTAGGTTGGTGGGAGCAGCATGCAGAAGACCTTGAAAGCTAAGCAGGAAGTTATAGATCTTTAAACAGAATAGTCCCATATGGAATGAGCAATGATGTAACCTGGCAGGAGAACATAGATGATTCTGGGTGGGAAAGAGAATCCTCCCAAGGGAAGTAGGAGTCATTTATAATTATCTAGCTATGGAGTGATGACTTATTTAGGGATGGAAAGGAAAAAGTAAATCTAGGAGATACAACTTCAAGAAAAGACTGCTTTAGCAATCCTTGTTATTTTTCACCTATGAAAGTTAACATTCTACCCTCTGCCTTTTTTAGTTGTTGGCATGTTATTTCTTCTACCAAAATTCTTTGAAATTAGATACTTACCTGAATTTGTAAGGCATTCAGTATACAGGGGTGGACAAAAGTAGGTTAACAGTTATGCATACAGGAAAAAGTTTATTCTTGATTATTTGGGTGTGTTTTTTTATTTTATTATTCTTGTCTTATTTTCCATATAAGCAACTATAAACCTACTTTTGCTCACCCCTATATGTTTGGTGAATGGAAGGAAAGGAAATGTGCTAACAGTTCAAATAGCAGAAGTAATTTGGTACATCAGCAATGAAAAAAGAGATGAGGATTTTGGCAGTTGACTAAGTTAAAAAAAAAAAAAAGTATTTTTGTCTACTCTTTGCTAATATGTTCCAATTACTTTTCAGAAAAGATTTTACCAGTTTATACTCTGACTCCCTTTGTTTGAGTAACTATCATCTCAAAGCACCCTTATTCGTAATGAGAAATATTTTAAATCTGCTAATTTATTGGGGGTTAGAAATTGCAACTTGTTTTAATTTTTATTTCTTTAAAAATATTTTTGTTTCTTGAACATTCATATCTATTTAAGCTATTAATCCTTTGTTCTGTTGGTAGCAATTATTTTTTCTTTTTAACTTGGTGGAGTTGTTTATTTACTGCTAGTAGTCAAGTCTGTTGTTCACCTTTGTGATTTCTTATTTATTAAGGGCTTATAATTTCATGAGGAAGGTGTTTCTGGGAAGGTTGTGTATGAAGGAAAGGGAGAGAGTGAGGTTGCAGTGAGTGGACCCAGCTGCCAGTCTTTAGCCCCAAGGTCAGGATGTTCACAATGGTTGTTCACAATGGCCTGTCCCACTTCTTAGCGCAGCTTTGAGCTGTCTCTACTTTGAGTAGGAAACAGGAAGAGTACTTTTGGCCTCCATTATGCTGCTAAGCCAACTGCATTAAGGGAACTGACCTGATGTTCAGTACCAGCAGAGGCAGGACTGCTTCATGTTCTCTCCTCACATCACTGGCTCATCTCCTCACATCACAGGACTGCTTCATGTTCTCTCCTCACATCACTGGCTTCATGTTCTCTCCTCACATCACTGGCTCATCTCCTTAAAAGGGCCCTGCCTAAAGGGGCTGTGTGCCAAGGCTTGTTTGCTTGCCTCTTGCAGTGACAGTTTTGTTTGGTCCATAATGTAAATGTCATGGCCCTGAAATCCCCCAGCTGTCCATGCTTTATTATTTCTTCAAAGGGAACTAACTTGTTTTCCACCAGAGGGGGGCAAGGAACATTTGCTACCCACACTGGTTTGATGTATTAAAGGGGAGAAAAAGAGCCAAAAGCAAATGTTGTTTCATTCTTTGTATTCATGTGGAAATTTTTAATCTCCATCAAAGGATCAGTAGAAAAATTACATTGAAATTCAATACAGGAGCTTCCAACTTACACAGAATTTTTCAAAGATGTTTGACTTGATCCTTTACAAAATGACAAAAATCATGAACTGTGTAACTTTGGGGTTCATAATTTTACCCTCCTCAGCCTCTACCTCTGTCTTCCCTTCCTATATACTCCATCTGTGTGGTCCTGTGTCAGCCTGCAGAGCTTCTTTGAATGGGAATTGGGGGTGGAGAGAAGTATACTAGTAGAGCAGCAATCAGGTTATAGAGTTGTTATTGATCTTCCTGACTTTAGTCTCCTTATTTCAGGTCTATTTCCACTGCTGTCAGAATGATCTTACTAAGAATAAAACTGATCATGTCATTTTCCTGCTTACCACAAAAAGCTCCTATGGTGTGCCTCCCTTATTACCTAATCAGCCTCATCTCCTTCTACCCTTCTCCACTGGATTATGACTTATTTAAAGTCAGAAACTAGCTGAAACCGGTTTGGCTCAGTGGATAGAGCGTCAGCCTGCAGACTAAAAGGTCCCAGGTTCAATTCCGGTCAGGGGCATGTGCATTGGTTGTGGGCACATCCCAGGTGGGGGGTGTGCAAGAGGCAGCTGGTTGATGTTTCTCTCTCATCAATGTTTCTGGCTCTCTAATCCTCTCCCTTCCTCCTGTAAAGATCAATAAAATATATTTTAAAAATAAAAAAATAAAGTCAGAAACTATATATTTCAAAGGCCTAGCACAGTTACTGGCATATTAATAGATGCTTGTTAAGTGCTAAATAAGTTAATTCATGATTTAAAGTTCTAACGAGTCACACCATGAGAGAGAAAATTTTAAATTATGTGCAAATCTTTCATCTGTGCTTTCATTTCCTTTGCTCGGTAAAAATCAAATGTGTGCTCACTGTACTATAGATCAGGTCCCTTCATCCCTGTTACAGATTCCTGTCTCAGTAACCCATCAAGAAGCACCATGCTTCCTGAGACCCAAAAAGAACAAATGAAGAGGAGAGTTCCAAAGCTCTTAGTCAAAGTTACCTACTACTTGTAATGAAATGTAATGCAATGTAAAAATAGTGCTGGAATTTTTTTTGCTTCTGGAAGTTCTTTTATACATTGATCTTTAAGTAATTGATCCGAGACCAGTGGTCGGCAAACCGAGGCCCTTTGAGTGTGACTCTTCCACAAAATAGCATGTGCGGGCACACACATACAGTGTGCTTGAAACTTTGTTGCCCATGCACAGAAGTTGGTTTTCAGCCTGGGTGAGTCTATTTTGAAGAAGTGGTTCTAACGCTGAGCCACACTCAAGGGGCTAAAGAGCTACATGTGGCTCACGAGCTGCAGTTTGCCAACTACTGTCCTAGACTAATGTGATTACATAAAAGTAAACTGAAGTTAACTTTATTGTAGAAATTCTTTGATAGCCATCCTAACTATTAATAATAAAGAGAGAATATGCTAATTGACTGTCACGCCCTCAAAGATGGCGGATGGCAGTGCCCAGTCCATCCTGCCTCTGGAGTCCCCAGGCGCCCTCAAACCCCCAGCTGCCCAGAGCCCACCCAAGGCACAGGCAAGCCTCACATGGCTGCTGCCCAGCCACCCAGAGCCGCCCATGGCTCAGATGACAGTAGCAGCAGCAAGGGTGTGACGGGGCATTGCCTTCCCCTGATCACTGGGTCGCCTCCTGCCCCTTAGGCTTCTGGACTGTGAGAGGGGACAAGGTGGGCTGAGGGACCCCCCCCTCCAGTATATGAATTTTCATGCACCGGGCCTCTAGTTGGTAAATAAGTACAACTGTTGTAATATGAGGTAGCACACTTTTTTTGTTTTTAAAATATTACATATGTTGCCTTTTTCCCCCAATTACCCCCCACCCCAGTGTCCATGTCCATTGGTTATGCTAATATGCATGCATACAAGTCCTTTGGTTGATCTCTTCCCCTCCCCCCACTCCTGCTTTCTTCTGAGGTTGGACTGTCTGTCCAGTGTTTCTTAGTCTCTGGATCTATTTTTGTTCATCAGTTTATGTTGTTCATTATATCCCACGTATGTGTGAGATCATGTGATATTTATCTTTCTCCCAGTAGCCCACTCTTAAGTAGATGAAAGTGTTACTGGACGAGACCAGCCCAGTGTGGGTCTGCCTCCGTCTGGCCTAGAGTGATGGGCTCTTGACTTCGTGCAGGAAAGATTTCACAATACAAGTTCAGGTGACTTTGAGAGTATGATTATTAAAGCTGGGGACAGTGAAACAAAGGAAGGACTTGGGGTAGAAGAAGCAACAGGAGAGAGTCTAGGCAGTGCTCTGCTGTGACTCCCTAGAAACATTATAGGAAAGAAGTGGGGCTGCTGTTAGCTCACAAGGAAGTCAGAGAAAAGGGGGGCCTTGGAGACAGTATCATGAGTTAGCCCAGGTTGAGCTGCCTCTACCCACTGCTTCCCTGGTTGACAAGTTTTGTGGAGACCCTTAAAGTTTAGGAGTAAGTAAAAAGTTCATGCCCAAGAAGGATCATGGACGTACTCCAGGGAGAGCCCACACTGGTCTTTATCTTGAAAGTTTTTATCTTTCTTCTGGGGCCAGAATTTTAGGGGATGGGGTTTCAGTACACTATTCATTACTTTTCCAGGTACCTTTTTAATATGCTGATGCATCATAATAGTGTATAGGGGAGTTTGGCGTTATTCTTTGGTAAGCTTTACTGTTTTACTTTTATCTTGGGTCTGACTTTAATGGAATTTTTGTTATTTGTTCCCCTGATTTCATCTGTTCTTGAGTTTGGCTAGCACAAATGGCATTAATTGGGTCTCTGTTCTCTATCTCCCTGACCAGGGTGATTTAAGTTATGTATTTTCTGGTTAAGGAGGAGAGGTATAAACCATTTGCTCTCAAGTATCCTTGGTTAGGGAAGATAAGGTCTTGCATTTCACTAGCTGGCTGTAAGTTGTTCAAATTGTTGGGTCTTATTTCGTTCCCTTGTTTGAGATTTCCCATTCCACTTGCCCAGGAATTTTTCTAGCTTCTTACTGTCCTGCCTCAGAGGAATAAATCTGCATGGGAAGTACTTCCTAGTATTTAAATGGATTTTAAATTTATAAGATCTGAATCAAACCAGGAGAGCAGTTTCGTAGAAGCTAATAAAAAGTAAGAGAGACAAGAAACTTAAAGAATGGCCTAAATTTGTAGAATTCAATAATTTGCATAAAGAATTTAAAAATTTCCCATAGTCTCTCTACTGATAGGAAGAAAAGAGCAGAAATCTTGTATACAGTCATTGAATAACACAGCTGTTATTATTGAGGGGGGAGAAGGGGAGCTGGTAGGGAGTCATCCCCAAACAGATTAAAAGATGAAAAATAAGATGAGCTCCATAGATGCAAAATAAATGTTTTAAATAAAATTCAATACCCACTTATTGATGAGAACTCTTAACAAATTTAGGTATAAAAGAAAACTTCCTTAATCTGATAAAAGGTATATTTTTTAAAAGCCTATAACATGTGCCAACTATTAGCTATAAAGCATGAAGACCAATATCTACACATAGAAGACCACTAATAAATGAAAGTTTTTATGATGAAAAGTATAATCATCAGTCTAAGTGGTAAAATATTAAAATTCTTTTAAAAATAATAAATAAGGATGACTGCTATCAGTGCTTTTACTCAGCCAACATGGTAAAGTAGGGAAAATAAAATATATAGTGATCAGAAAGGAAGAAAAAAAATTGTTGGTCTCATAGTTGATATGATTGTCAGAATCTACAGATAAATTATTAGAATTAATAAGATTTTTTTAGCAAGGCAATTATCTATAAGATCAAAATAGAGAAGTTGAACTTTTATAAATCAGCAACAAGAAGAAAATAACTGTTTAAAAGAAACTGATGAACAAAATAGATCCAAAGACACAGAAGCATAGAACAGACAATAGAATCTTAGAAGGAAGGCAGGGGTGTGTGAGTGGGTGGATGAGAAGAGATCAACCAAAGAACTTGTATGCAGATATGCATAACCCATGGACACAGACAATAGGGTGGTGAAGGCTGCGGGGAATGGGGAGGCTAGAGTCAGTGGGGGGGAAAGCAGGACATCCATAATACTTTCAACAATAAAAAAATTTTAAATAAATTAATTAATAAAAGATACCACTTATAATACTAACAAAAATACGATACTTAGGGTTAATCTAACAGAAGATAAGCAAGGCCTTTATGGAGAAAGTTTTTTAAACAACTTTTTTCAAAAGATCAGAGCATTCTACCTTCTCCCGCATAATTGCCAGTTAATAGTCAAGGCACCATGTTAAAATACACACACTCACACACACATGCATGTGCACACATGCCATGTAGAAGGGGCTTCGTGAAAGACTGTTTTCTGCATAGATCATGGGAAGAGAGTCCCAGATTCAAAATACCATCTAAAACTGATAGAGAACTTAGATCCACTTTTTATCTCTGATAGTTCCAAGGTAGCCTGACAGGAAGGAATTTAGCTTTTCCTTGGATGCACAGTTTTTAATCCCTATGAATTTAGACAGTTAGATTCCTTATATTTGACCACTCTTTCTTCCTAGGTCAATCACGTCCATCCGGAGTGAACTGATTCCATACCTAGTAAGAAAACAGTTTTCCTCAGCTTCCTCCCAACAAGGACAAGAGGAAAAAGAGGAGGATCTAAAGAAAAAGGAGCTGAAGCCCTTAGGTCAGTAATTGGGTTGATGCAATGAGGTTGTGGTAGCAACACCTTTGGAAAGAGTGGCTGGGCAGGTTACTGATTTTTGTCTAGCTACCCGGCAAGACAGGCTAGCTGTTGCCACTCTCTGAGCTCAAGCAGATCCTGTCACTGTGCTCTTCGGGGACAAGCTAATTATGTCTCAGGTTCACTCTCTAGACCATTCTTTAGATCCTCACTAGACCATTTTACCTTTTAAACTCTTCCCACCACTTCTCAGTTCCCCGTTTTCTAGGCTCTGGGCAGCCCCACTCCTAACTAAACTCAGCCTCTCTGTCAAGGGAGGGAAAGGTGTACAATTACAGTACAACCAGAGATCTCCTTTCCAGGGTGCAAGGGCGAGGTTTGTCTTGTTTGCTCTCATATCCCTGCCTAAAAATATATATTTAACAAATGAATTATCTGTGACCTTAAGGAGGTTATTCAGTCCTTTTGTTTTTTAAACCAGTACATTTTATTTGCCTTTAGACTATATACTCCCCAATTTGTCTCAGTTGTGATACGTAGGTGGATTTAGATTGCTTTTGGTGTACTCAGTATTCTAAACCCCAGTTTTTGTATCATAAAATAAACGATCCCAAATTATTATTGTAAGAGTTGAAAAACTAGAGCCCAGCTACTCTGGTACAACTGTCCTGGTACAACTTCCAGATATGTAATAGAGGCTAGCCCCACAATGTGGCGGGTCACCAAAACCTGGACACTTGCTTGGGTTACTTTATGATTTACAAGAGTCACCTGTTTCTTTTTCCCCTTAGTAATGCTTGGTTATTGGTCAAATTTGCTTTAGGAACTCTTTCAAAGCATTTTTGTTTCATACAATATTTCAAACATACAAGAAAGCACATTACTTACTTTAATTTTACTTAATCTTTCAAGTTTCAATGGGATTGTCCCAGGTCCATGCTGCATGGGTGGGTTCCATTGGGAGAGGTGTGAACTTTGCCCTATTTCAAAACTTACTGAGTTTATATCTCCTCTGTCATCTCTCTCATTCATTTGCTCGGTTTGGGTGTTTGTTCTGAAGATATTTACAGTTTTATAAAAGAAAACAATGCAATGACCTTTGCTCCCTATGATGGTTGCTGGAATGCCTGTCGAGGAGACAAGTGGGAAGACTTGTCCAGATCACGGGTGCGCTGCTATGTCCACATCATGAAAGAGGGGCTCTGCCTTCGATTGAGCACCCTGGGACTCTACATAGAAGCAAACAGACAGGTGAGAGGCGGGGTCTAGAAGAGAAGTCATGGGAGCTCCTTCCCTAGAAACAGACTGAGTCTTTTGTCTTATTTATTTACTAGAGGCCCGGTGCATGAAAATTCATGCACTGGAAGGTGTCCCTTAGCCCGGCCTGCCCCCTCTCACAGTCTGGGAGCCCTCAGGGACAGGAGGCGACCCAGTGATCAGGGGAAGGTGATGCTCATCACACCTCTGCTGCTCCCACTGCTGGCAGCGTGAGCCTCAGACAGCCCTGGGTAGCCCTGGGCAGCTGGGCAGCCACCATCTGAGGCTTTCCTGCACATCGGGCCAGCCCTGGGCGGGTGGGGGACTAAGGGGACTAGGGGACTCTGGAGGCAAGCACGCAGAGCGGCCGGGCCCACTTGGGGGTGGGCCTGGCCTTGCCTTTTGCCTGCCACCCCAGCAGGGCTGAGGGAACTGGCCATCTTGTGGCTGTGGGCGCCACCATCTTTGAAGGCGTGGCATTCAGTTAGCATATTCCCTCCTTATTGTCTGGACGCTGCCATCTTTTGCAAAGGCATGAGGGTCAGTTAGCATATTCCCTCTTTATTAGATAGGATTGGGTAGACAATTACTCATTCAGAATCCCTTTTACTCCTAAAACTGAGAAAGACCTGGACTATCAGGCGAGACCATTGGGGTTCCCAGGTACAGCAAAAGTGGCAACAGAGGGCCTGGTCCATAGAGGCAGAGCCTCTGTGACTCTAAAAAGAGGCTAAGATCTCCAGGAAGGCTAATCTATGGCCTCTCGGTTCAGCAGCTCTCCCATATTCTCCTCAGCAGTGGGATATGTACAGTACTTCATGAACAAGCAGATAAATACTGCATAATAAGTCCTGTGGTGACATAAACACAGGCACACAGAGGAGGCTTTCCTAAGAAAGTGAAGAAACAGCCGAAGTGGATAGAGCGTCAGACTGCGGACTGGAAGGTCCCGGGTTTGATTCTGGTCAAGGGCATGTACCTTGGTTGCGGGCACATCCCCAGTAGGGGGTGTGCAAGAGGCAGCTAGTCAATGATTCTCTCTCATCAATGTTTCTAACTCTCTATCCCTCTCTCTTCCTTTCTGTGAAAAAATCAATAAAATATATATATATATATATATTTTTTATTTTTTTTAAGTGAAGGAACACAGTATAGAGTAGCCAGATGGCAACACCTCAAGGAAGGAACATCTATGAAATGCCTGGAAACAGCATTAGAGGATAAGGAGTCTTGTCAACCCCTTTTTTTAACCCTGAGGTTTATGAGATATAGAAAATGAGTAATTTCTTTTGAAAGGGAAGCAGTGCTGTGAAAGACAAGTTTTGTTTAGTTAAGGGATACAGAGAGGGACAGAGAAGAGGCTAAGTGTATAGGGAAACTCTTATTGTAACAGTCACAGGAGGAAAGTTTTCGGAGAGGGGCAAGATGAGACCATGAAAAGAAACACAGAGCAGTAAAGGATTGGTTTGGCTTGGTGGGTAGAGCATCAGCCAAGGGACTGAGGGTCAGGTTTGATTCTGGTCAAGGGTACATGCCCAGGTTTTGAGTTCGTTCATTTGTCAGGGCTGCAGAAGGCAGCCGATTGATGTTTCTCTCCCTCTCTCTTCTTTTCTGAAATAATAAAAATTAAAAATAAGTGAAAATAGGAAAAGATAGATGATTGAGGGAACTACATTAGAATGACATTCAAGAACAGGGATGAGCCAAAACTGGTTTGGCTCAGTGGTAGAGTGTCGGTCTGCGGACTGAAAGGTCCAAGGTTTGATTCCAGTTAAGGGCATGTACATCGGTTGTGGGCACATCCCCGGTAGGAGGTGTGCAAGAGGTAGCTGGTCGATGTTTCTCTCTCATTGACGTTTCTAGCTCTTTATCTCTCTCCCTTCCTCTCTGTAAGAAATCAATAAAATATATATTTTTTTAAAAAGAACAGGGACAAGATGATGAAAAGATTAGCTGTTGACATGTTTCCTGGTAGAACCTTGTGAAAACTGTCAGTGCAGGGATATGCTGTGGAGGGATGGAGAGGCAGGTAGAGTGAATAAGGTTGCTGGAAATTGGGATTAAGATTGACTCCAAAGAAAATGTAGCTCAGGAATCTTTAGAACCCATACCAGCTCCAGACCCAAGCTGGCTTCAACCAAAATTGGTTATAGATTTAAAGGAATCCAGGACAGAGAGTTTATGAGAAATCACAACTAATCCCATGTTTACTCAGGGCAGTCCTGGATAAAGTTAGCCCCAATTTAGGGTCAGAGCTATTAGAAAGCTTTCAAGATTTTTAGTTCTCTTTCTTCAGACTATGATTAGATGTCAGACCGGTCAAAAGCAGGTCCATGAACAGCCTGAGGCTAGAGAAGTATCCTCTGAAGTGACAGCAAAGGCTATGCAGCCAACAGGCCTGAATGGCTTTGGTTGAAGTGTAATAGAGGAGATCTCCATTCTCCTAACCTTTTTCGTTTTCTCGTACTGGAGAGAGAATGGTGGAAACTTTCCCATCAGCATTTTATTTTGACTGATGAAGAACATGGGTGCTTTCTTAGGGTCTGTCCTGCTTATGAAATTTGTGTAACACTGCTCTCATCCTCACTTCATGCCTGGCCACAGTGGTCAGGAAGTGAGCAAGAACCTAAGATAACTATGGTCAGACTCAGGATGCTCCTTGCCCTCCTTAGGCCTCCTCTCCCAAGTGCTGCCTGGGTATGTGAAAGATTTATCTCAACACCTCCCAGCTGAGGGACATGGCATTACTTTCAGAGACAATACTCTCAGCTCAGAAACTGAAGATAAGATCACCTAGAAGCTACTGCGTAAATAACCCTTGTCCCAGGGAAAATGCAACAGCCTCCTGCTCTGCCTCATCCAGATAAGAAGCTGTGACTGAAAACTCCCACCTCTCTGACTGTGCATTGGGTTCTACCTAAGGTGCTTTCACGTGTTTTCTGGTCTTACATTAATGACCAAACCTCTTTCCTCAAGGTGCCCAAATTGCTACCTCTTCTTTGTCCAGAAGAATCACTGGTTCATTCATCCGCCCAGATTGTCAACAAACACTTGGTAAGTACTAGTTTGGGCAGGGCAGGTATGGGATGATCTCTGGGTGCATTGAGGCTTGTTCTAGTGAAGCTAGATAGGGCTCTCAAGCCCAGAACCTCATTAGCCCCAGGGAAATCCCAACTGGGTTTTGGTTATAAAATTCACCATGGGCTAGAATCTGCCTGGAGAGGTGCTGACCCCCAACTACACAAACCCTATAAGGAAAGTCCATTATAGTCCTGGGACTCAGACAAAGGGGCTTTCCATCTATCTCCCTCTTCTTACCCCGATTTGAGCACTGCCTCCAAGAAAGCATATCTATATACCCAAGTGCATGAGAATGTAAGTTTGAGTTGGCCTCAGAGGTATTACGTGACTTGTGACCCTAAGAAATACTGATGATGGTTTCTCTTGCTGAAGTATCTGGGAAAATATCCTATTCGGCCTCACCTCAAGAAATCTGGGGGGTTAATTTGCATTTGGCTAAGATGAATGGATAGAATTTTATATTTGCCTTTTGCAGGTTGGAGTTGACTGCCTCATTGGGCCAGATACACAGATTGGAGAGAAGTCATCCATTAAGCACTCGGTCATTGGTTCATCTTGTGTCATAAGAGATAGAGTGACTATCACTAGTTGCCTTCTCATGAACTCAGTCACCGTGGAGGAAGGGTATGTTTCCCCTTGTACCCACTTGAGACAAGGCCCCTGGTACCACTCAGAGGCTTGGGGGCCAGTGCAGCCTAGGAAAGGGCTCAGCTTGGGGAAGGGAAGAAAAGCAAAAGGAAGAATAGTTCCTAGGCCCTTTGAGTTTTAATTTTGGTTCCATGATGAAATAGTCTCTGAAAGCATTTCTAGCAGTCTTCTCATACTTATGATATTTAGTCCTGGAAGAAACTACTCTCTCCTGCTTTTTTTTTATATATATTTTTTAATTGATTTTTTTTACAAGAGGAAGGGAGAGAGATAGTTAGAAACATCGATGAGAGAGAAACACCGATCAGCTGCCTCCTGCACACCCCCCACTGGGGATGTGCCCGCAACCAAGGTACATGCCCTTGACCGGAATCAAACCCGGGACCCTTCAGTCCGCAGGCCGACGTTCCATCCACTGAGCCAAACCGGTTTCAGCATCTCTCCTTTGATATCCTGTTTGATGAGTGGCCTCAGAAGTGAACCACTGGTAATGCTGGGATGACACTGTACCAATATCTAAGAATCACCTTCCCTTTTTTATTTTTAAATATATTTTATTGATTTTTTTTTTTTACAGAGAGGAAGGGAGAGAGAGAGAGAGAGCTAGAAACGTCGATGAGAGAGAAACATCAACCAGCTGCCTCTTGCACACCCCCTACTGGGGATGTGCCCGAAACCAACGTACATGCCCTTGACTGGAATCAAACCTGGGACCTTTCAGTCCGCAGACCGACGCTCTACTGCTGAGCCAAACCAGTTTCGGCGAATCACCTTCCCTTATCTTAATATCCCGAGAAGCCCTGAAGAAGGCAGAGGCCTAGGAAGAGTGGACATATAAACCACACACCGTTTTTGATGGAGAGCTTATCTGTTATTAATTATGGAAAATATTCCCCCCTTTTGAGATCCTATAATGTCCTAAAATCTTGGTTTATGAACAACCTGTACTTGAAGTAAGAAAACATTAATGATGTTTAATAGCATTCTTCCTCTGTATTGAACTCGGGTTTTTTCTTATATAAAAGCAAGCATAGGTGATAACAGAGGAAGGATACCAAATCAGTGATTTTCAGACTTTTTAGAAAAGTTTTCAAAAAAAAAGAGAAAGAGAGAGAGAGAGACCAAGAGAGGGGGGGTGGGAGGTTCAGGCTTTTTCTTAAATCTTATGCAGAAACTCGGTATTTAAAAGTGATAAAAGCACAGTGGTTTGGAATACAATGGGGAAGGGTGCTTGTCCTTCTTATAGGATGTGAATCAGATCTATAAAACAAATTTTGAAGACCACTAAGCTGGATCAGCCTGAGTTTGATTCTAGCTCACACATCTGTTGATTTTTCTGTCCAGACTGCAAGGCTGGTGAAAGCTAAACTACTTCTCAAAGCTGCCAGTGAGGGTTGGGAGAAGCATTTTGGGAAGAGAAGCTGCATAAAGATAGTGCTAAAGGTTAAGCCTTTGCTGTTTAGGAAGAATGACTGATGAAAGACAATAGGCAGGTTTTAGGGAGGAAGTGCCATAATAAAAAACCAGGAACACTGGAGACCACAGGGATGTTGGCCACCAAGATCTGTCCTTCCCCAAGCCCACAACCTGGCTTGACTTCCAGAACCCTTACCCTCAGCCTTCAGCCAAAGTTTGAAAGAATCTTCTCTGGTGAATCCAATCAGCCCAAGATGAAAAACCTAAATTTATTTACATCAGAGATTAGTAACAGCCCAGTGAAATCACCCTGTAGTGACAAATTTCATTCATGTTTCTAGAGCTTCCAATTGAATTTTTAGAATTCTCCCCTAAATATAAAGACATAATCAAAGATTAACAAAGACCTAAAGAAAGCTGCTATCATGAAAGAGAGACACCACATCAAACAAATAGAAAACATCAGCTGGGAAGAAACGGAGGCTATGCAGAGAGAGAAAAATACTTTCAAGTAACCTGTCATTTCAAAGAACAGAAAAAGAACCCTAGGCAATTAAAAATATGGTAACATTTTCTTATTTTAGAAATATCTCCTCATTTTGATCTTAGCTCAGATTTCACCATTTAAGAAGAGGCTTTGCTTACTACCCTGTCCCAGTACTCTCTATTACTTCAACCTGTTTTATATTCTTTATAGCATTTTTACTGTCTGGCCTTAAGAAGTACACATTGGGCCGGGACCGGTTTGGCTCAGTGGATAGACCATCGGCTTGGGGACTGAAGGGTCCCGGTTCGATTCCGGTCAAGGGCATGTACCTTGGTTGCGGGCACATCTCCAGTAGGGGGTGTGCAAGAGGCAGCTGATCGATGACTCTCTCTCATCAATATTTCTAACTCTCTCTCTCCCTTCCTCTCTGTACAAAATCAATAAAATATATATATATATTTTTTTTTTAAAAAAAAAAGAAGAAGAAGAAGAAGTACACATTGGTGCTGAAACCAGTTTGGCTCAGTGGATAGAGTGTCAACCTGCCGACTGAGGGGTCCCAGGTTCGATTCTGGTCAGGGGCATGTACCTTGGTTGCGGGCACATCCCCAGTGGGGGGGGGTGCAGGAGGCAGCTGATTGATGTTTCTCTCATCGATGTTTCTAACTCTCTATCCCTCTCTCTTCCTCTCTATAAAAACTCAATAAAACATATTTTAAAAGAAGAAGGAGAAGGAGAAGAAGAAGTACAAATTGGTGCTGGTTAGAGTGTTGTCCCGATACACTGGTCAGGGCACATACAAGAAGAAACCATGAATGTATGAATAAGTAGAACAATAAAATCGATGTTCTCTCTCTCTCTCTCTCTCTCTCTCTCTCTCTCTCTCTCTCTCTCTTCCTTCCTCTCTCTAAAAAATCAATAAATAGCCCGGCCAGTGTGGTTCAGTGGTTGAGCGTTGACCTATAAACCAGGAGGTCATGGTTCAATTCCCCTATGGGGATTGAGCCTGTCATGTCTGGGTTGCAGGGCTCAATCCTTGGTAGGGGCCATGCAGAAGACAACCATCCAATGGTTCTCTCTCATCATTGATGTTTCTATGTCTCTCTCCCTCTCGCTTCCGCTTTGAAATCATACAAATATATTTAGAAGTAAAAATAAATAAGTACAAATTGGTAGCTACAAAATAGTCATGGGGATGTAAAGTAAAAGATAAGGAATATAGTCAATAATATAATAACTATGATGCCAGGTGAGTACTGGAAATATTGGTGGGAACACTTTGTTGTTGTTTTTTGTTGGTTTTTTTTTTGTTGTTGTTTTTTGTTTTTTTATCAATCTTTATTGTTCATATTATTACAAAGGTTCCTCATTTCTTCCCCCCTCCACCAGGTTCCCACCCCACCCTCCGCCCCCTCCCCATCCCCCATTGTCCTCATCCATAGGTGCAGTTTATGTTCAGTCTCTTCGTCCCTCCCTTTCCCCAATAGTAAATCCCTTTTCAGATAGTAAATCAGTTACTTAGCATTTTCTCAAATCAATAATGCCTCCACATGCCCAATGATACACTTCACACAAAAGACATTTCCCAATAGGTCCACCAGCCTCATCCAGGCCCCACCCAAGGCACTCACAGATCAACACCCCAGCCCTATACTAACTCAACACATCCAGATCTAAGCCTTCATCACTTGATTCAGCAGACCCTCAAGTTCCCACAAAAGTTTCCAGCCATGTCTGAGAAGCAGCCGTGGGGCAGGGGCAGGCGAGGAGCGAGCTGTTCCGGGCCTGGCTGCTCAGGGCCTGGCCTCTGTTGCTCTGGTTCGTTCCACAACCAGCTGCTCCGGGTCTGGTCACTACCGCTCCCGACCTAGTTGCTCTGGACTTGGCTGCTGCTGCTCCGGGCCTGACCGCCCCTAGCCTGGCAGCCGCTGCTCCGGGCCTGGCCACACCCGACCCGGCTGCTCCTCCGGGCCTTGGTGGGAACACTTTGTAATATGATTATCTAACCACTATGCTGTACGCCTGAAACTGATAGAAAACAATATTAAATGTAAAATAACTTCAAATAAAAATTTAAAAAGAGGTCCTAAACTAAGGCAATAGCAGTGGAGATGGAAAGGAGAAATAATAAGGTGATAAACACGGTGACTGCCTAAATATGTGAGGTAAAAGAGCGAGAAATCAAGATGCCCAGGTTTTGCTTGAGCAATAAAGTTTCTTGTGTGCTAGTCACTAAGATAGAAATCAATAGAGGAGAAGCAAGATTTGCAGAGTGGTAGGCAGAGGAATGATGAGTTCCACTTGGGACAAGTTGCATTCGTGGCAGACAGCCTTGGTGTGCAGGACTGGAGCTCAGGAAAGAAGCCTGTGCAAAGCACAGATTTGGTAATGGTTGGCATAGAAGTGGTAACATAAGATCATTCAGGGATAGTATGTGGCATTAGAGCAGGAAGACAATAGGCAGGATTTAGGGAGGAAGTACCATAATAAAAAAAAACAATGCATGGCACATAGAATGTTACCTGTTACTTTATTATTGTCACCATTACTTGATCTCATTTCACAAAGGTAGCATGTTACCAGCATTGTCTTTCTAAAGGATATCTCTACTCTTATCCCTGTCCTATTAAAAAAAAAAAAAAAACCTTTGAAAACTCCCCATTACCTTCATAGAATAAAGTTTGAACTTCAAGGTTTCTCATGACGTAGCTCCAGCACTGAGTCCTGGAATGTTAGAGTGAGATGGGGCCATAGAAATCTTCCGGCTCAACTCCCGCATTTTTACAGATAAATAGTGGTATTCCAAACGTTTTTTTCTCCCTGCACCTCTGCCACTCCATGCCCCATTCTAGACTCCTGTGTGAGACTGACACACCTTCCCATTCCTTTGAAAACCAGAACTGCACCAGCCTTTATCCATTGATCACTTGGTTCCAGAGTAGCTCATGAGGCTTTGTCACTTCCACTCTCTGTATCATCTTGCCTTAAACCTGCCAGGGAAACAGTGCCATAACTTTACCATTTGCTCTAACCAACAACCTCTCCCTCCCTTCCTGTGGGTGGGCAGACAAAG